TTTCGGGTTTGGGGTTTAGGGTTGTAGGAAGCCTCCGCCCGGCAGCCCACAAAAGCCAGGGGCATCGCCGAGCTGGGGAAAGGTTAAGAGCCCTGCAAGAACCCATAAACCCTGGAACCCTGGAGCCCTCAACGGAGCCTACAGCCATACATCCTGACCCCTAAACTTCCCCCATTAATTGCCCGGGTGAAACCCGATAAACTCCTTGTGAAACTCTAAAAGCCCTTTGGCCTGTCTTCGCCAGCTGGAGAGTCTACCGGTGATGTCGGAATGGGCACGTCCTGCGGTCAATGCAGTCAGGAGGTTCTAGGGCTGAGGGCTAAAAATTCCACGGATAACTTGCTTTCTAAGTCCCTTAAGCCGTTAAGTACAAGCATGAAACCTCGACCCAAACCACGAAAAAAACTCTAAGACCCAGAGCCACCAAAGCCTCGAACCTTTGTTAAACCCAGCTAGAGCCTACGAAGTCGCTTCAACACCTAAGAGGACTTGCGAAACCAACATTCGAAAAACATATCTGTAAACCCCCTACACACCCGTATGAACGGTAGTACGGCAGCGTAGACTTGCAGTCCAAGTCTTACATAGACTGTGTAGTGTTCTCACACTGCATGGTTGGCTCTACTCTGCAACGCCGACCTGGCAATGCTCTCTGCGGAGCTGATTCCAGCACCAGCGTGCCCCGACAGCCCAAAGGTTTAGGTTTTGAGGGTTTAGGATTGAAGGCTGAAAGTTTAGGGTTCCACCCCTCTCCCCGGCCAGTCCTCGGCATACCTGCGGAGCTGGGAGCTTTGGGCTTCAGGATCTGGGGTTTAGGGCCTAGGGGAAAAAGCAGCCCTCTTGGATCAGTGCTTTTCATCAGCTCCCCCTAGATACCCTATAAAACCCAGATCCGGAACCCAAGACCCACAACACCCAAAACCCCAAGACCCTTCTGCAAAAGGCTTCGTGCATGACGAGGGGCCCGTCGTCAGAAGCAACCGGCGATGTGGGCACGGGCACATCCTGAAGGTTGTAAGGTTCAGGGTATAGGGCTCAGGGGTTTAAGGGTTTCGGGTCCATGGATGCACTCTCCACTAAGACCACTAAGCTATGAAGCATGATAGGTGGCTCTTCGTAGGCTTTCGTTGCTCTACAAGGGAACATAGGACTTCAGCGTCTGCGGTTTAGTTATTGCGGTAGAGCTCAGGAAATCCGGAAGGAGCCCTTATCCCTAAACTCTCGTAAGATTGCAATCCCACAACCTCCAAACGTCAACTTGCCTTGCCCTCAACCCGAAGCCCTAAAGCTTACACTCTATAGCTCCCAAATACCCTGAACTGTTCTTCAACCTTGAAAAAACACCCTTATAGAGCCCGTAAAGAACCCTTATGAACCGTATCCACTCCACCCTAAACCCCAGTTCCCTGGTTCCCGTTCGCGCTCTTGGATATTTAGGATTTCCCGTTTCCAGCTTGCTTGGGCCTATGGAAAATCCTAGAACCAAAACCCCGAGTATAAATCCATCCAATCGAACTGTAAGTCCAAACCCTACACCCCTGAACCACCCCAAATCTCACACTCCTATGACCTCGAAGCTCGCTGTTTTAACCTTCCGCTTCCCTTTACCTACGATAGGCGTATGTTAAGCTATAGTTGTAAGTACACAACCTGACCAGTATTACCAACTACTCATGTTTCTCTACTACTTCGCTCAAGAGCTTCTATAACTTCAGTGTTTAAGGCTTTGGGGGGGTTGCGGGTTTGGGGTGTCCCTACCCCTCAAACTTTCGGAAGAGCACTGCATAAAATGGGTAGGATAGCGGAGAACCAGGAACATTGGACAAGACCGAAGTGGAAGAACTCAAAGTTTGGAACCCTGCAACCTCTGAACCTTAAACCCCAAACCAGAAACCTTCAATACTTAGAGCTGCGTCCCTTCACTCGCCTCGCCGCCGTAGCCCAACCGCCTGCAACTGTAAGCACTAAAGGTGCCGCTCAAAGAGTGGATGTTGCTTACAGCCGTTCAAGGTCGTTTAAAGTCTAGGGTAGAGGATTTAAGGCTTCGGACTCAAAACCATGTGCAGCCAGGGTTCCGTATTGATCCAACCGGGGAAACACAAATTATCCGAATTCATGGTTTTCGCCCGTCGGCCACAGCTCCCAAACCATGGCCCCCCCACCAGTTTCATCCGACCGCAAAGGAGAACGGGCTGCTTATGATTCAAAGGATGGGACTTGCACCTGCAACAGACAAAGACGTAATGCTCACAAAACTTTTTGGGGTTTCGTAGTACTCAGCGGTGTTCCAGCACAAAATTATGCAGCAGTGAGCACGGTATGAGAGCTCGGGCACTGTCGCAGTCGGTCGTCTCAGGGGCAGCACGATTCCAACAGCGCAGGATACTCCTTTCAGTCGGATTTCAGAGCCGAGGATGTATTTCAGCTTCGAAACGAACGTTTGCGAATACGTCGAGACATTTCGACATCAGCTGGTCCAAGCGCCCTTGCAGCTCATCAGGCAGCTCTTCAGAATCACACCAGGTGCGCAGGTCCAGGAACCAGTCAAGCTGCCAGGCGTATTTCTGCTTGGTGCGATTCCGTATTGGGGGAGACCATGGTGGGTACAGAGGGAGGTTGCAGGGCCTTTTGGCGACGAAGCCTTTCTGCACCAATTCGGAGATGGGAATCAGGAAGACGCCTTGCAGTTGATCCTTGTGCAAAACGCAGGCGACCAGCAAGTCAAAGTCGTCCTTTGCATATGAAAGTCGTCCAAGCGAACCCCCGTACTTGGACATTTGTACGTCATACCTGCCCGAGCGCTCATGCAAGTGCGATGCCTTCTCTTGCAAGCGCACTAGCGGGTGCCCGATGCGAACCTCCAGCAGAGAGTCGACTGTTGTCTGATGTTCAAGGGGACAAGTCAAGCTCCAGTTCATGCAGGTAAACATATGCCTGAGCTGCCGATGCACAGCCACCTCAAGCCTGTTCCCAGGGGAGCACTGGCGCTCTGCCGCTTCAACTGATATGTGGGGAAACTTCTTTCTGTTCTTGAAGCAAGCAACCGAAAGCGCCCCTGCGTCTTCGACCCGTCGAGCAGTGTCACTTGCGCACCCGATAGTTATGCCGAGTTTATCAACCTTGAGCTCAGCGCCGGCGGTCGCCCAGATGTGGCCACCGTCCAGAGCCACAAGAAAAACCAGCATGCCATCGTATCCTAGTAAGTGTTGAAAAACGTAGAACCTGCCTTGCTTCCAGCGGCTTGTTGCTGCCTTGAGCTGAATCGGCAAACCAGCTTGTGACGAGCCGCGCAGCTTGAACAAAGCATCTGCTTTGGAAGACCCCGTCAAGCGCACGAGCTCGTAGTTTTCTGAATATGGCGATGCGTAGAATGCTTCCCTCAACAGCTCGAAGGACCTGGCCTCCTTGCAGCGATTAGAGCTGCTTCGTTTAAGACCCCGCTTGCGTGACTGCTCAGGTGATTCTACGTAGGCAGCTTCCTCCTCCGAGGGAAAGTTTAGCCAGCTCTTGCGCCGGAACTTGTGATGTGGAGTGTCATCTGGATACATGCGCCTCACCTCTCGATCGTAGGCCTCCGCCGCCTGCTTGGCATTTTTGAAGCGGCCGATGTATCCTGGCCGGGCCTCAACTCGTAGCCATGCTCCAAAGACACGATCTTGCTTGAAATAGCACACGCCGCGATACTTTGCAGCCTCGGCTCGGCCTGCAGCCTTGTGGTGGGGCACATGAGCAGAAGCTTTCAGAAGTCCGGCCAGCACCGGAAAAAACGACACAAAGGTCACAGCAAGCACAACCCCCCTCAACAAAGTGGAAGTGCGGCATGCAAACTTCCACATCTGCCGTGAGCAGGCAAAGATTGAATCAGTTCAAGACTCTCTGCCGCAGCTGCACAACGACCCACACTTTGTCCCCTGACCTTTCTACTGAGTCTATCGGATTGAGCATGGCATGCGGCTGAAGCGGAGTTCGCTCAATGAGCTGACTTCGATAGAAAAAGAACAACGACAGCAGATAAGATACACAAGCTACATATCACAAGTCACAAAAGAGTGCAGGACAGTTTGGTTGCCAGCAAACACAGACAAAATCGTATGCCGAAACATCCCGATAGGCAAGGGATCTGCAAATTCACCTAGAGTCCAGAGTTTTCAGGTGCTTTGGGATGAAAGTTAAATGACCATCCGACAACACCAAATGAGGTTGACGACTCAAGCTGTTTCGAATAAGGATCCTATCACTGTGGTCGCTGAGCAATGAAAAGTTAGAAAGAACAATAAACCCTAAACCAAACCCCTCAACCATATGCGTGTAGAACTCTCAGGTGTCGCAGGGATAGGGTCTACAGCTTCTGCTCCCGATCGGAGCTTTGGAAAGCACTGCAGGTTTGCGTTTCGAGCTTGGCCGTGAACATAGAAATAGAACAGATACTCCTAACATGTTTGCCTTGATTTGCTTATGCAAATTCTGCAGTGCCTCCCGTCAAGACCGACAAAAGCCAAGAACCCATGAAAACGAAAAGTGTAACCTGAAACCTACAAAACTCTCCAAAGCTCGTGAACCCTAAACCGTAATCCAGCGGTTTTTGAATTTATGTGCAGTTGGCCGGGCTTCGGAACTATGGCAACAACAAGCTACAACCCTTAAAGCAGCACATCCTAAACCCTTCAACACGACAAGCCACCAACCAAAAAGCTAACACCTGACGCCCTTAAACCCGAAACCCCTGAACCGTGATTTGGATGCTTCAAACCTGCGGGGACTTCGGATCCCAAGTTACGGATGCGAGATGTGAACAGGATCTATAAACACTGCAGTTTGAGCGAGCCCTTTAGGGTTTAGGGTTTAGGTTTTAGGGTTTAAGGTTTAGGGTTTAGGGTTTAGGGCTTGTTATATTCGGCTAGCCTCATTCGGGCTTCTAAGGGGGAAGCAAGCCCATGTATTCAGGGGCTCCCAGCCCTGGACCCCAGACCTAGAGCTTGAACCCTCAAGACCCAGAGGAACCGCATACGACTTTTCGAAGGGGGATGCTTCAAAATCTTGATTGCAAAAGTCTTCCCGTTTCCCCTTAGAAAGTTTCTTCGCGATGGCCCCTCCTTTGAAAGGACATTGAGGACAACTCAGTAGACCTACTTGGGCTGAGCCTACACCGCCTGCCACAAAACCCTAAGCCATCCTTGAAACCCCGCGAAACTCTCAAGACTACACCTCCAGACCCCTCAACCCCTGAACCCCTAGGGTCGATAAGCTCCAGAAGTTTAGCTCACGAGCGCTTTGAGTTCATAAAGCCATGCAAGAATCCCAGAACCATGCCTCAAACCCTAGACTCCCTAGACCCAAAACCCCAAGCCTCATAGTCCAGTAGCCTTCTCGTAACCTCCAGGTTATTGCGGCCCTCAGAGAAAATGGAAACCCTAAACCCCTACACCCAAAAACCCAAACTCCAAACTCTAAACCCCAAACCCCCGGCCTGTCTTCCTCGCCGAACTCCGAAGCGATTGGGGAGGTTGGCACTGGCAGCTCCCTTCAAAGGGTGAGAAGGTTTAGGGAATTAAGGTTTAGGGCGCTATGGTTTCGGGTTTACGATGTATTAAGGCTTACTGTAGGGTTTAAGGCCGTGGGGATTTAGTGCTTTGGCTTAGGAGGTAGGGCTTCCCGGGATGCTCTCGGAGGTCTTCCGACAATCATTTAACTGTTGCTCCTCCCGAGATCGCTTCGGGCGATGGAGCGTTGCAAAATGGCTATGGAGGATCTAGAGGGAGTCTGAATGTCCGAATGTCCACGGGAAAGAGTTTGGGGTAGCTTCTCCCTAAACCCTAAACAGACAAATGCTGCACCCCTACAGTTGTCAACGAACCGGGAAGGACACCACCACTCTCGAGCTCGACACCTAGGATTTGGAAGGGTATAGGGCTCAGGGCTCAAGGCTAGGGGTAACGATCGGTCTACGGTGCAGCGTATAGGCTGCGGGGTCTAGTGCCTGGGGCTTAGGGAGGGTTGCGGGAGGTTATCGGAATGGATGAGGATTTAGGGTTGAGGCTTTATGGTGTAAAAAAACACGCGACTTGGTGGGTAATGATGCTTCTTGCCCCCCTACTTGTTCCCTGCTTCCTAAGTCTCTTAACTTCAAGGTTCGACGGGTTTGAGCCTTAATCTAGACCCTAAACCCTAAACCCTTAAACCCTTGAACCCTTAAACCCTTAAGCCCTAAACCCTAAACCCTAAACCCTCAACCCTGAAAGCTGGCACCTCCTGTCTGCACCCGGAGAGGAGGGCGCTGGCGAGGTCGGCATAGGAACTTCCTCCAAAGGCTCTCGCGGGTTAGGGTTTAGGGTTTAGGCTTTAGGGTTTAGGGTTTAGGGTTTAGGGTTTCGATTGGGGCCCTGCTACGGCTGTGTTTGGTTTTACAAGGGCTTGAGGGTTTCGCAGGGCCTGGCAATCAGGTTGTAGGTGGGGTTTAGTGCTCACTTATGGATAAGTAAGAGGTACCCTTACGATCGACATTAAGTTCGAATGGCTTCTACTTCCCTCATACGACCGATAAAAATCGATAACTTGGCTAACTACGATGGTCCTTCCGGCATGCACTGACACCCGTCTTTCTTTGCATCTGTCCATCTATCTTTCTAACTACTTTTTATCCACCTATCCATCTACCTGCCTACCTGCCTACCTATCCATCCACGCATGCATGTCATCCATCCACTCCATCCATCCACTCCTTCCATCCATCTAACTATGTATCTATCTATGCACACACATGTGTATATACATACACACACAAACCTCTGCACACATACATACATACATACATACATACATACATACATACATACTTACTTACTTACTTACTTACTTACTTGCACGCATGCATGCATGCATGCATACCACTCGACAGGGACTAGAGTGTTTGAGAAACAGGAGCAGAGCCTGCAAAAGGGATTGAATATTCAGGCAACAGGAGCAAAACGCTCGACAGGGACTGGAACATATGAGAAACAGGTAGCAAACCGCGCGAAAGGGATTAAAGTGTTTGAGAAACAGGGAGCAAACCGCTCGAAGGGACACGAGTATCTCAGAGCCAGGAGCAAACCCGCGCAAAAGGGACTAGAACATTCGACACACAAGAACAGGAAACCGCTCGAAAGGAGCTACAGAGTGTGCTTGACACGAAGGGCAAAGCGCGCAAAAGGACTACACTGCAGAATTCGAAAAAAAAGGAGCAAACCGCTCGAAAGGGAATAGAGCTTTCGAGAAACAAAAGCAAACCGCTCGAAGAAACGGACTAGAGCGTTTGAGAATCCAGGAGCAAACTGCGCGAAGTGATTTGCGTGATGAGAGCTTTCGGCAAACAGGAGCAAACCGCTCGAACGGGAGTAGAGTATTTGAGAAACAGGAGCAAACCGCTCGCAAGGGACTAGAGACTAGAGCGTTCGAGAAACAGGGAGCAAAATGCTCGACAGGGAATAGAGCATTCGAGAATCAGGGAGCAAACCTCTCGAAAGGGACTAATTAGAGTATCCGAGAAACAGGGAGCAAAGCGCTGAAAAAGGAAATAGAGCATTCGAGAAGCAGAGCAAGCCGCTCGAAAGGGAATAGAGCATTCGAGAAACAGGGTTTAGGGTTTAGGGTTTAGGGGAGTATCCATGTACCGTAAGACTAACCTTAAGAGCGCTTAAGCAGGTGGGTTCTGGACGCAGAGGTCCTCCTCTTTCATCGCATATGGGAACCTGCGCATCACCGTGGGATCAAGGCTTTGGAGGACAATCGTGGGGCTGTCGCCATAGTGAGCAAGGTATAGTTTTAGGGCTTAGGATCTAGGACGGATCAATTCTGGGGTTTGGGGCGGCTCATGCTGCTCTTGCTGGCTATTTGTTGGTGTTACCACCGAAAGTGGTTTTGCATTCTTACTTTGTCGTATCTTCCGCGAGGATACGACTCTGATGCTTGATTCCCTCACCTTTCTGGTTATTGCGCTCGCAATCTGTTCTCACAATTGAAACATCATGAGCATCACAGTTACGAGTGCGGTTGAGACGGTCATGTCACCGGCATGACTGATTAATATTTCCACTAGTGTTCTTACGATCATCAATCTCTTTGGTGCTATGAGGGCGGCTGCTGCTGCTGCTGCTGAGCCAGCCGGAATTGGTCACCACCACGTAGACGACCATTACTACGGTCGATGGCGGAAATCTCGCACCACCTACTTAACCCAAGGAGCGGCAACCACCACTCAACTACGTCGCGCCTCATTTTTACATGTTGCCGTGTCTTGGTGGGGCGGTGCAATGTTTCCGTCACGGGCCGAATCCGGAAAGTTGTGTTTTCGTGGCAACGTTGAGAAGGGGGTGCGAGGTGGGACGGCTTTGTTTGTGTTGCAAGCGGTGCACCATCTCCTCCATCCATAGAAATACCCCTTTTTCTTGAATAAGTAAGACGATGGCGGTGATGATGATGATGATGGTAATGATGAGCAGGAACATGGATATGAGATCTTGCTGAAGGAGATGCTTCCTAGGAGGTTTTAAACATCAGAGCCTATAGAGAGCTCAGATTTACGAGTTGGGGTGAAGCGCTTCGGTGGTGGTTGGTGGCTCTAGGAACTCTACCAAGTCAGTACCAATGCTCCATGTAGGACCACAAGCCGTTGGCATCCGGCTTTTCAACAGTTATGACACGCATAACTAGAGATCGGCACGCTGTGCGTCCAAGTACCGTACCGAGGAAACGATGACAAAAGTTGAAAAAACAAGAGTAGCAGTAGATTTGGATTTAGCACACCGGGTCGTCAAAAAGCTTGCTAACGCAGACCTCTGACTAATGCTTCTGATAAGGG